CGGACTCCGAAGGACGCCGATGGCACAGGCGGACGCGAACATCTGGCGCACGATAGATATCACTTGGAGCAAAAGTATCCAAAAAATAACTTCGCAACCTAAGTTATTAGCCATTTCCGACCAAACGCCTCGACGCAACGTTCCTGGGACTGGCTTAAACAAGGCGTCTAACTTTGAACAAACTGGTGTTTCGAGAACGCTCGTGTCGGGGGCTTTTGTCGCAACGATACGTGTGACGTCCGCGTTCCCGCTGAACCGAAGCACCATAGTTGCGTGGCCATCCGCTTTCAATGATGTTTCTGTCAGTTCAGCCTGTCACGCCCGTCCACACACACTGGTCTGTCAGCGTTAACAACGTCAACTGTGCGGTACCAAGAACTCGTGCAGACGGTGGATGTTGACAGAGACACAAACCAGAATCGCTGACGAGAATATTGTAAGATATTCTCACCACGCTGCGTTGCGTTTTGGCTTGCCGCAACAATTCTCATGTTGCTGCTTCACTCTTTCCGACACTGATCTGCGCATTGTATCTTCACTTGTACTGCCTATCTCCTTGTCAGTGCATATTGACCACGGTCAATCAGCCCAACTCGGTAAGCGCGTCGTTCCTTTGTGATCAGCTGGCTTGCAAAATTTCCTTACACGTAAGCCCAATAAATAAAGTGCAGGATAGGAGGCTGCTGATTGTATTGAGCTTATGCAGTGGCACTCTGCGTGTCTCCACGGGCTGTTATAGATGCCGCCAGATAGCCCACCATCCGAGCGGGATCCCATTTACTCCGAGCGATAAGGCCTAGATAGCAGGTGCAAGGGCTGGCAAGCTCCATGAGGAACAATCAGCACTTTGTCGCGTGCGGATGGGTGCGGTGCACGATAATACTTCAGGAATGACCTAGTTTCCGATGGACTGGACCGCCTATTGCCCTAAGAATTCACCAATACGTGTCTGTCCGTTCGCCAATCAAGCATTGGCCCGTGATTTACCACGAAAGGATCCAGACAGTCTGCGCCGTGTTGGGCAAAGGCCACATATCAGTATCTATCGTCTGCACATCTGAAACAATGAGCTTAGGACTGCCCTGCTTAAAATTGGATTCAGACTGTTACATAAGTAACCCACTGACGCACGTTTCATGCGAGTACAACCGAGTCCTCACTGGTTCGCTGTATGCGAGGCATCGGCGAGACCGTAGGCCGTTTGATGAGGCTGCCTGTACCGGAGCGGCTATCCGAACTCGACACGGGAACAAACGTCACGCTACCACACATGTTCGAGCAACAACCCCGTAAACATGGAGAAGCGGGAGACGCTGCTCTATCCCATACAAAACGAGCACAAAGTGTGCCCCATCTAACTTCATCTATTTATTTTTCATTACGCGGGTCATTACCGATATGTGAGCCGGGCGATAAGTAATGGAATAAATTCCCACTTGCATGCCTGTCATTCCGATTTTTATATGTTTTGTGTAACTACAGATATTGACTTACAGATATTGACTTATACAGATATTGACTTTTTTTACAGATATTGACTTATATTGATTCGCCAGGGTGCGCTGAGACTTCAGGAACAAGATCCAACAATTGGCTACTCTGGTACTGCACTGAGAACCTCACTGCATTAAATTGGATTTTAAAAGCACATTCACTGAATAATTTTTAACACAATGCAGACTGCCCAAAACCACGATTCAGGAGAAGTTCGAAGGGAGGAAGCCATCAGAACATATTTGGCTAGTATCATTTCCTGGCCCCACAACCTTAAGGATAAAAAAGCCAAACTCTTGAATGTATGGCTAATGGCGATCTCGACCAGTGCAGTTAATTTTTCGAGAGTGCATGCTATCTAAGCAGACAAAAACGGTTGATGAGATACCTTAGCCAGATAGATTGAAGGAAAACAATGCAACAGCTGCTATTATTCTAAAAAGCATTCCAAAAAATGATACAAATCATTCTACCAATATTTCTAAAGAACAAACTATTTCTTTTAAAAAACATTCCGAAAGTGATGAACTTTTGGATTCTGAACCAAGTTGTTCAGTATTAAGTCACAACCGTCAGCATGGAAATCGCTCTCGGTTGTAACAACGTCTCGATACGACTTGAACGTGACGTCACCACTGAGATCCGTCTAGTGTCGACCTTGACCCGGCCGGTGCAGTTGTGCCCGCAGCGTCATCGCGCGGAAAAAGTGGGCCGATATGTCTTTCTCGTATTATCTGCGAAATCTTTCGTAAGGTGTTAACCGTGGCATTAAGCACGCTCGTCCAAAAAATCGTTACCTCACCAAACTCAGTTTTTGAAGCGTCGATACACCCTCGATAACTTGAGAACTCTTCCGAATGTGGTGGGATATATAATCAAAAGACCACATTCCATGACATTCGGGCGCACTGTGTTGTAAGCTTGCGTTCAACAATATTAAGCACAGGTAAGAGTGCTTATCTACGTGACGCATAGACACATACGGAAAAATGGTAAGACGGTGCTTATTTATGTACCTATGCAAAAATGTTCCTTGCAAATGCACTTAGAAATTAACGTAATATTATTTTTCATTATTTTTTTAAACACAAAAAATACGCAGCAATGTATCTACGCCCTACGGATAAGTGGATTTTGTCACTTCAAAACGGCACAGAACTAGCGGTTATAAGCAATGGCTACATATCGAAGTGATTTACGCAAAAAAGAATGATGCAAAATGTCAAATTTTTGTATTCTTCTTTAACTAAACAATGGCATTTCTTGCCACTAAAATACGGGAATTGGCGATTATCAACGACATTGACATCAAACATGCGATGGCCAAAATACTAAAGTGAGGTGCGTATGTATATTGTATATGGCGGTCGCTGTGAGTGACCAGGCATCTACGGAGGGGCTGATGGATGCACTGACAGTATTTTCTTAAGTCACCGGTCTTGGGTTGACTGTGCATAAATCAAAACTGATGTGGGTTGACAGCTCACGTCAACGCTCGGGTTTTGCGTGCGAGATTTGTACCAGCAGCGAAATGCATTCGGATTTTGGGCGTATGGTTTAGCACCACAGACAATTACGAGGAGGATCATATCAGGCCGCCACCGCACAGCGTGTTGTTTACCATTACCATCTGGCGCCAACGGATTCTGAGCATAAAGAACAAAATAACAGTGGCCAAAGCCACCTGATATCTAAAATGATATATAGCATCTCTTCTGTCGCAATTAAAACGATGCATGCGCAATGTAGTCCCAATGATGGTGTTATGTCCATGTTTACTATGTGTTTCCAGCCTTGGTAGCAATTAGTACTGCAAAATTGTGACAAAGCAGTGTCTTGTAAGCATTACACAACACAAATCTGAAAAGCCAGGGAGTTTAAAGTTGCTTCTTTCATAGTAGTGGGCAGGGAGTGCAATGAGATTTCTTTCGCAGGAGCTTGTACCGTAAATAAAGAGGGATGTCGAGAAAACTGATATTACCAAAAAAATCGGACGTGTCTGATCAAACAATGACTGAAAAGTACAAAAATGTGGCATACTCTATTTAAAGGAAGTTTTCCACATTTAGATGGGTTTTGCATTAAAATAGCCATCTAGGTGACCTTCCGGTGCTGTTCACAATCGTGCCGTTCTTAAGACCTATGTCCGTCCTGTTCTCTGAGCCACACACCGCGCAAATTGGGAGGGTATTTTGGGGAGAGTATTTCAGTCACATTGACATTCAAGACGCCAAAATAACTTCATTCAAGTCTTGTCATTCCATAAGCCATGCGGCGATTAAAAACAAGGAAAATATAATTGTCGAGGCGCTTAATTTGACGTTCGTGAGTGAAATTTCAAGACGTAACAGCCGCGAGTTGGCTCTCGATCAATGTTGTGCAAGGTTCGATGACGCAAACAAACCATGGCGCATTGAGGAGCATATTATCAAACAGAGACTGTGCTTGTCTAGAGCAGTCTTTCCACTTAAAAAGGATACCAATAGTTATAAGTAGAATTGTTTCGTCATATCTGATACTTGTTTCCATATCGTCAAATGTGAAGGATTCCCTTGACAGGGAATGGCCACATTTGAGAATATTGAAGTGTCCGACGGGGATCAGAATTAAGGATTCCTGGACTAAGAGTGTAATACTGACACCGCGGGAAGTTAATCCAAAATACCGTGGAAAGTAATACTAAGGGACACGGGTGGAAAACCGGTCGATGTAAACGCTAGAGACTCGATGTCACAACTGAATCTGAACAGACGTGTCCTTGCATCCAATATACGCACAAGAGACTTCCACGTCATTGAAATAGACATCGTCACATCCAATGCTTTGAACAGGTGGGAACACGAAGGTGCGCATGGATCTGCAAGAGTGGTAGGGAGTTTCGTACATCCATTATACTTAAACGGAGTCAGCTATACGCCAATGGTATTAACTTGAATATTTCATCCTTATGTCGCTACTAAAAACCCTTTATCTAAGGCGCGCAGTTCGTGCTTCAAGGGTTCCTAACTGCAACGGAAATGCATTGTTTCGTCATGGCTTCAATCGCATGTCTGTACGTGCCTTTTGGGACAAGGTAGTTGCAAACATGCATAGACATAGCACCTGTAGAGTGGCTGCATGCAAATGCGTACAATACTCTGTTTGAATTACTGAATGTGCCGCTTGTTATGAACTACCGCGGGTGTGAAGGACACAGCTTTGTTTGGGCGGAAGTTTTGTTTGTTTGTGTTGTCATATGCAGTGTTCGTAGAAGTGACCGATTGGTAATTAACGTCTTGTCACATGTAATGTGTAGCATTTTTTCCGAGAATGTTAGTGTAGGTATCTATGCAAGCCTGTTTATAAGCAATCTATTGGCTGCGCCGATGAAATTTGGATAAAAAGTGGTGGAAGTTGGCGCAGAAAAATAGCCACTCCCCAGATTCCGCAAGTCTTATAACTAGCCAAGTCTATCCACCTGGTCATCTCCAATCTGCTTCAGACCGGCCCGGCGCCAGGCCTCTCACCTGGTACAGGTTGAACCACCGCAGCTGCCACTTGGAGTTGTCGGAGGTGCGCTTGTAGAGGCTGCCGCACATGTGCTGGTCGTAGCGCGCCTTCTCGGCCAGCATCAGCAGCTGGTTGTCGTTGATGCGCACGCTGCGCTGCATCTTGGGCGAGAGCATAGCCTGGACGGACGGGCGGCGCGCCGCTCGGGAGCGCCCCGTGGCCGCCGCGCGACGCAGATCGATCCCGCCGCTCCACCTGTCGACCAGCGGCGAGCGGACTCACACCGTGCACGACACGCCGCCGACGGCGCGGCGCCACGGTTTCACGCGGCGGAGGCGTCTGCCGGTGGCGGCGCTGACACGGATCACACGGCGCGCGGGACACCCTCGGAAGAGAGCGTGACGCTGCGCTGCGATCGGAGGGGAGCGCAATCAATGTCGGTGCTCGTTGTCCGCCTACCGGGCGCTGTGCACGCGCAAGGCAGGATTGCGCGCGGGCTGCTGGTAGGCCGTGTAAAACACCCTGCTGGTGGCCTGTGACTGATCCGACCTGTCGACTCGTAGAGCCCAAGGTAGGGCCAGCAAGCGGGGCCGATCCCACCACTGCGTTATTCTTGAAACGTCGTATGAAACAGGGCTAAACTTGACGAGGTGGGCTGCTGCTCCAGCAGGTTTTAAATGAGATGAGAATATGTGAATCCTTGGAACTTGACACGAGCGGGGGCGCGTGAAGTCAGAGCAGCGTTTGTCGTGCAGTGTGCGATTCAAGGGTATTGTAGTTCACGTGCGTGTGTTTTAGGATTATTTGTGCCGTGTTCGTTCTGTTTTGAATAGTTTTTAAGGCGTTTTTTTTTTGTTTTGGCTTTTTCTAGGATAAATTGATAAACTCTTCGAGTTTCCACGTGACTTCTGTGCCACTTTTGCATTTCGTCAAAACTAAGTTACATTAGGTAATAGATAGGTGCATCTTAGTTTTTGAGAGCAGTTGCTGTAACCTTTGGAGCATTTTTTGTTGATAAGTAAGACCTTCGATTATTTCCTTGTCAGGTCTGTAGTATGGGAGGCATCAGCTTAGTGATAGATCAGGCCCTAGATAATGTAGCTTTTAGGAAAGAAGTACAGATTTTCAAGGAAACGCATGCTTGTTTAAGTTTTATTAAGAATGAGAGGTTGGCAAAGGTGTCAACTGGGTGCGGGGCAAAGTCAACTGGGTGAGGTGCACTCCACCTACAAGGCTGAAGTATGACAGGTAACACAGAATAAAGGATCAAGACCTTCTCATGTAGATGTTGGAAGTGCAGCTGTGCCTACTCCGAACAGTTCTGAGGCACTGCGAGATGCTCCCAGGGTTGACCAAGTAAAAGCGATGGTGAAGCGGGGATCGTCGCAGGGGGGGGGGGGGGGATTTTCGAGCTAGACGTCTCAATAGGAATTTCTGCACGGGAAGGGAAGGAAGAAGATGTCTAACTAATCCTGCAGCCAAGGTCAGGGACCTAGTGACACTGGTAGCGGAGGTCACCAGCGAAAACCAAGTCAATGCCGTTATTGCATAGGACGGAGTCAAAAATATAGGGCCGGCAAATAGTGAGTAGGTAATTCAAGACTATAGGACCCTGAATCTATATCAGAGCAGCTCCTGAGTGCAGTTCCAGGGCACCGGTGGCCGGTGCTAGAGTAGGGAAACTTTGCAAAAGGCTAGACTTCACGTTTGTAGACGAGCGGGACGGGTTTTTTTCAGATGGAAAGATCCCTATCAGAGGGACAGACTCCACTTCTATGAGAAGGGTGAACGAACGCATCCTTGAGGGAAAATAGCGTCTGGGGATCAGAGGGTGAACATAAAACGCCTGAGAAACGAAAATTCAAAATTGCTAAGCAGCGAGGCAAAAAGAAGTGAAATAAAAGTTAGGTGCTCCTATGCCGATATAACAAGTATCAGAAACGATTTTGGGAGCTTTATGTTCATATGCCTGAAGAAAAATTAGACCCGGTGGCCACTAATGAATTTGGGATCAGTGAGCAGGTTGTGTGGGATAGTCTACAAGAGTTTGAAGCATCTGATTTTAAGATGTGTACTTTTCACAGGAAAGTGAAAAGGGAGGTGGGATACTAGCATATGTAAGGCAGAATATAAAATGTGTAATTGTAGACGGCATGAAGAATGACGATATCGTGGAATCTGTCTTGGTATATTTGGTTGTGTCGAAGGGCAACCACTTACGCACTGGAACATTCTACAGGCCTCCAAATAGGATCTGGATTTGTCAGGATCTGGGCGTAGAATATGTGAAGAAATTGGTATAAGTATGAATGGAAAATGTGTAGTGCTGGAATATTTTAACAACTCAGGCTGGAGCGTAGATCTTGCCCAATCGTCGAATAGTTACGACAATATTTTTGCTTGTTTTGAAGAAAATTTTCTTCACCAGATGGTGTGCAAACCCACTAGGAAAGATGAGCTTTTGGATCTCGTTATGACTAATGAGGAGGGTTCGGTAGATGCTTTGGCAGCATATGAGACGCTGGGAAATAAATGCCATACCATTGTAAGGTTTTTAATGTGTCTGGAAATTTCAGGTAGAGATAATCATATTCGTTTTCTGAATTTCGCTAAGGGTACATTTGCAGAGCTTGCTGCCTTCCTCGCCAGCATCCAGTGGGGAGATATTCCAACTGGTCTCACTGCACATCAGATGTGGGAAGTGGTCAATGATAGTTCAAAGGGACAGAGAAGGTGCTTCCTTCCAGGAAAATGTGAAACAAAATAGTTTAGGAAGCCCCTTGGCTGATACACACGGTGCAGAATTTGGTGGAGGTGATGGAGGGCATATGATAGACAAAAAGTGCAGGAGACAGACATCAACAAGACAGTGTATAGGATGCCGCAAAAGCTTAAGCAGGAAATCAGGGCAGCTAAAAGATTACCAGAAATATGGGAGGCAAATGGCGACGTGCCAGCTCTGGCGAAGTTAAAAAAATTTGCAGTTACCAAAATTCAGATCTGTGCGATCTAAATCTGCCCCTCTCGGGGAGGTGGAAAGTCTTAAGTGGAGGACTGGATCTGACCAGATATATGGTAGAGTGTTGAATAAATGCGTAAGTACTTAAGCCTGTCCTGTTATGTGAATATCTAATAGATCACTGAGTTTCTCAGAAGTACCGGAGGACTGGCGCAATGCCAGTGTAGCACCAATTTTAAAGAAGGAAACCAAATAAGTGCCAGCAGCCACAGACCTGTGAGTCTTACCTCACCAGCATGGAAGATCTTAGAGAAATTCCTTGAGGCTAGCACTCAGTCACGCTTAGAAAGGCATCAGTTCACGAATAGTCGTTAGCGTGGTTTTCTTTCCGGTAGGTCCTGTTTTACAAATCTTCTAGAGCTTATGAAGCATGTTATTAGTTTGATAGATGAAGGCAATAGTGTAGATGTTGTCTTTCTAGATTTTAGTCAGCCTGCTTGATAAGGTGTTACACCAACGTCTACTATATCAGTTAAAATTGCGTGACATTGGGAAAAATTCTTGGCTGGGTAAGGGCTTAGCTACTTAACAAAGAGCAGTGCTCAGTGGTACAAGAGCTCAGTGGGAGCTGGTAGAGAGTAGGGGTCCACAGTGGTCGGTGTGGGGCCCTTTGCTCTTCATTATTTCTGTGAGCAGCGTGATGGGGTCAGAGGCTGGTTCCCGGGCGTGGGAAGGTGGTTGCCAAACGTATTAAGTACAAAATCGGTCACCACTGGACATATAGAGGGGACACGTTCCCGTATCTAGGTGCAAAGCTTTCCTCTTCGACCAATACTAACCAGAAAAAAATACTTATACATTGCGATGTTCGAGCCACGGTTGAATTTTGCGACAGGAGATAAACAGGAGTTTAGCCACAAACTTTCACCAGCCCTACGGCACCATTGATGGATAATACGGAAAATGTACATGCACATGTGAGGCTGGAGGGAGTAAAATTAACTTGTTTTGCGGTGAGGCTACTTCAGGGATAAGAGCGAAGGGGTTCATAGAATCTGGCACGTGAAGTGCTGAAGTCACACGTTGCATTCCATTTTTCACTTCTGTGGAGTAAAGAGCATAAGAAATAGCTGCGTCAGAGGCACTTCCGGGAACGACAAAAAGGGAGTTGATTGGATTGGAGTGGGGATCTTTGGGATCCACCCTAATAAAACACCAGTCTATTTTGCCAGTCTTGCGCATTTCCTCAGAGCTGAGCCGATGATAGGCAGCACAGCAAAATATTACCATAATAATCTTGACCGGGTTATCGTATTTTGATGCCACTCAAACTAAAGTGGTGAGCGAAGATGCATTACAGCTATTAATCGCTCCTAGATTTGCATTCATAAGCAGTTTTCAGTCCGCCCTTATTTGGGTGGATTTGTCAATTTCCAAGCGCAATTCAATCCTAGGACGCATCATGACAATTGTCCGATGCAGTTCAGCTAATCAATGAATGCGATCATCTTACGTCCTTTCGGCCAGCTGGCATTTGAAGGCCAACAGCGGATAAAAGCATCGTGATTTATTTGTGTGCTATCTTCTGACGGACATGACTAATGATGATGAAGCATCAGCAGAGAAGTTTCCACTAACATAGCTTTTCGCTTTGGCTTCCCTTGCAGTTAGCCTCATCAATGAGTCTGGGCCTACAGGACTTCAGATGAGTGTACTGTCAGTGTGCCCCCACCAGGACCTCTGCTTGTGCCTCTAAACAGCTCACTTGTTGACGATTTTGTAAAAATCCAACAGAAGGGGCTAAGTGTTGCAGCGGCTAACGAGGCAACAAAGCAGACTGCAATGCTGTGAGCCCGAAGTGACTTTGTAGCGACCTTATGACCTTTGGCCGGTGATGCATCACTGCCGACGCTGGCATTCGATATTATGGTGCACGTCTACGTGCGCTATGCGTACGTTTAAAAGTGATCATGATTTCCTGATTTGTTAACGGCAGTGACATTTATCGCTATCATCGCATTCCTATGTCTGCCCACAGACGCCTCCAGTCTGGAGTCATCGAGCACATTAAAAGTGGCGGTGCTTCTGCTAATTGGAGTCATTTGCTCAGCCGGTGCGGTCGCTCCGCCGGCTCGGTCCATGAGCATTCTTACGTGAACATTGGCGTGTTTGCCCGTTTACCATAAACATTTTTAGCACAAGAATTCAAACTCTTACCCCGATGTTCTCTCTGCCTTTGTTTGAGGGATTCCTTCGTTCAGGTCTTTGAGACAATTATTATTCACATATCACATGC